TATAAAAATAATTTTCAATTGCCAATTGCCATTGTAATTCTTTATCTTCATCAAGTGAATTAAGGCTATAAAGACATTGCCGCTTTCCACATGCAGTGCATTCCACCCATCCATTAATATTTTTGTATGTATAAAGATTATTAGATCTACATTCTTGTTTTTCTTGATTTTGTAATAAAGATGGACAGTAATTGTTATTAGTTTCACTTTCATACATAGAATTAAATGAGCTATAATAGTTTGAATCTATATATATGTTAAATAGTTAGATAATTGTAAAATAAATTAATTTTTAAAAAATTAAACTAACTATTTACAGATAGAACAGGATCTGGTAAAAAGTAAAGTGAGCCAAAAACTTCATTTGGCATTCAAACAGGTTTACAAAAAGAGCAATTATTGTGTGCACATTTTTTGATCCAAAATAAGTATATAATATTAGTATATTAATAAAATTAAAGTGTAGACAAGTTTTTTTATAGAATGTTTGTTGTATTAATAGCTTATTTTTAGATAGTTTTTAAACTGATAGTTCATTTTTTTAAAAGTTATTTTTTTATAAATTATACTAACTTTAATTATAATTTGAAACTAATAATAAAATAGAATTGCTTGTTAATAAATAAACTATCAATAAAAAAAACTATCTGTAAAATGTGTTACTAGTAAAATAAACTATAAATTTGCTATAAACTAGTTATTTATAAAATAGTTTTTGTTTGTAAATTAATTGTCTGTATTATATTGATTAATAAAATAATTGTTTACAAAGTAAGTAGAACTGAAATATATTAACCTAAAAAGAATACAATCTTTGTTGACAATGTGTTTCTAAAAATTTAGTTAATTTTTTATGTTTTCGCAATTCTGCCCAAGTTGTCTCATTTATTTTAAGAGTATCATCAATATATTTCATTTTCTATATTATTAATTTATAAATAATATTAATATTTTTTATTAAAAAATTAGATAAATAAATAAATACTTAACTTTAAATAATTTATCTATATCATCTTTTGTTGTAGGATCAAAAGATTTAAATGAATTATTATTTAAAATTAATCATGTTGTTCTTTTATTTAAAAAATTTATAATATCCATTATGCTATTTTTTAATTCAGTTTTTAGAAGATTATTATTTTTAGCAGCTTTTCGAATTGCTTCAATAGTATCTAATTGCTTAAAAATTTCTTCTTGTTCTAAGCTAAGACTATTACATACTAAAGCAATATTTTGTAATTCCAAATTAAGAATAGATATAATTCTTTCAGCAGGATTTGCCCAGCTATAATATGGAGCAATTTTCATTGCAATAATCATATCAAAATTATCTTTAAAAAATAATAAAATAAGTAAAATTTAAACTGATCCAAAAGTTGTTCTATGATCAGGTCCCCTATCAGTATATAAGTACAAAATTGTGGAACTTCATTAGAAAATTTTTGATTAATAACTTGAAAAAATTCTGTTACATGATGAATTGCATTACTACTTTCAAATATAGTATCCTTGTATCCAACATAAACATCTCCATTATAAAAAGAATCTGAAATATTATTTGGAACTTTATAAAAAAAAATAACTAATAGAGTAATTGATAATTTAGTAAAATCATGATCACATGCTGAAAGCTAACTATTAGTTGATACTATAGTAGGCCTATTTCGAATACTAGTTGATGTATGAATATTTTCACTAATTGGAATCTTATGCTTATTATCAGCTAAAATAAAGCATACATATTCTTGATATAAAATTGCAAATTCACACAAATATTTAAAATAAGCAGCACAATAATATGCATCTGGATAAAATTTTTGAAGTTGTCTACTTTGAACTTTATATTTAACTTCAAATCTTCCAGTATATTATATTGCACGATTTGTTGTTAAATTTTTTGGCCAAAATTATAATCATATCTACTCAGTACTTGGTATATAAATTGATTCAGGAAGAGGATCACTATATTGAAGTTTAAGACAAGAAATAATAGTTTCTTGAAGATTCCAAATAGAAACAAACTATGGCAAATATAAAATTGTTTTATGACATCTATTATTTATAGCTGGAGTATTCCAATTAAATTATAAATAAATAAATAAATAAATAATAAATAAAGTATAAATTATTGTTATTAAAATACCTTATTGAAGTATACTTGCAATTTTGACCAAAATATATCAAATTTTGATTCTTTAAAACTATTATTATTTGTTCAAAGATCAAAAATAATATTAGAATTTTTAAGCTTTAACATTAATCTTAAGTGTTCTTGTACACTTTCACTAATAGCATTAAAACTAAATACATCTCCTGTAAGATCACAATATAGCATATTTAAAACACTTAGATTTAAAGTCTTTATTAATAAATACTAATAAATAAAATAATAGTTAAATATATAATTTGCTAAATTATTTATTTTATTTTAAACTTACTTTATTAATAATATTTTTTCTCATTATTCGAGTCATATATTGTGAAATTATTCTATTAATTGTAGCAATTGTTTGAGCATTATAAGTTTTATGTTTATTATTAATAGATTTACTAATTCACTAAACATAATAGTCATAGAACATGTCCACATATAAGGGCTTAGAATGTTGTTACTTATAAATCAAACAAGTTGACTCATCTAATTTTATATGTAAATTTATGCAAAAAAATCATTTAAATTAAA